TCACTGACTGCTATCATCATTCTCCAGAAATTGGTGACCCACTTCCCAGAAAAACAAGGAAATAACAAATGTAATAAGTGCACAAGAATTTTTTATCCCTATCTGTAATAAACTCTAGAGCCTTTTCCCTTTGGCTCTTTGTCTCTTAGCTTGGCTGCACATTTGAATTGTCTGAGCCGAGTATATAAAATACTAAATTTCTGGTCCCAACATCATAGGTGCTGAATCAATTGGTCTGGTTTGAGAAACAGGCATTGGTATTCTCCTTAAGTCATAGAATGAGTAACTTACGTATCAAAATCATCTGAAGACATTTAACAATTCTAATGTCCAAGTCATAACTCAGAATGATTAAATCAAAATTTTATCTAGAGTGGGATCAGACAATGTTATTTTTCAAAGGTCTTCAGGTGATTCTTGTGTGCAAAGTGTGGAACCTGAGTTGAGATTTAGTCTCACATGTGTGGTTATTAATGCATGAGGTATTATAAGCCAGTGCTGAACTGGGCTGTAATATCTATCCTAGGAAAGATTATTAAGAAGAGTGAGGGTTAATTGTTAAAACAATTGCCTTTTTCTCCCCATGGAGTCTTGATCATGGGTAGTGTAATCACCACCATCAGCAACTCTTCTAGGGCACTCCTCTAAAGTTAAAATGAATCCAAGCTCCTCTGTACTCCAATTCAACTTCCAGAAGTTCACCCTCATTTTCCTTTTATCCAAATCCCAAGATGGCACCTGGCTGACTTTTCACAGGAAATTGACTACTGAGTACAAGACTTACATTGCTATTGATTATCCAGTAGAATGACTTGGACTTATTATCTTCAGGCAGCCTCAGCTTTTATCCCCACCTGATGCAGGGAGGTCATAGACAAGGGTGATCCACTCAAAACCGTCCTGAGAAATGGTCATGTCATTGCCTGCCTCTCTGGAGAGTCTGGAATACCCTGCTCCCCATTAATTATTTATCCATGGTAAACAATGAAGTTGAAACAAGTCTGGAGGATAGGGATATTATTTCAAACTTCTGTAATGAATATTGAGCATTTGTAATGAATTAAATAATTGCATAGTGAATGAGTAAATAAATGAGTATTATTTCACTTAGGAAAAGAGATTACTTGCTATCTCTTTAGAAAATACTAGTATAAAACCAATAATATTTGTGGATGAGTATTTCAGATATTTGACAATACAGCAGCTGTCACCAGAAAGGATAAGTGGCCCTCATCAAGAGACAGCAAGCTGTCATGTGGCACCAAGTGTGACATTAATGTTATGAGAAACCAGGACTCCATCAGCAAGAGAAGTTCTGGGAGGCACAGTGGATCCACCGAGGTAGTAATGGGTCCTGAGATCAGACACTTCAATTCTTCATCAAGGAGACACAGAATATAGGGGTAACTGAACCTTGTTGCTGCAAAATGTTGTACCCATGGATAAGGATAGAACCTGTGGGTCGGAAGTTGCTAGCTCTTTTAGGTACTCCAGATTGAATAACTCTAGACACACAGAGAATGATAGAGACACTACTATTTAAAGTAGTCACTGAATAGGTAAAAGAATAATTTATCTTCAGTAAACCCAATGGGTATAATGTGCCAAGGACTGGTGGGTCAAAAGTCCTAGGACATCAGGTTATCTAAAGACCTAGACCAGTGGTCAGCAAACTCATTAGTCAACAGAGCCAAATATCAACAGTACAACGATTGAAATTTCTTCTCATAGCCAAGTTTTTTAAACTTAAACTATATAGGTAGGTACATTGTTATTAACTTAATTAGGGTACTCCTAAGGCTTAGGAAGAGTCACACTCAGGGGGCCAAAGAGCCTCGTGTGGCTCGCGAGCCACAGTTTGCCGACCACGGGCCTAGACAGCTATATGTAACCTAATGTACATACTATGAAAGTCTTGGATGGTCATTTCTACCTGGAGTATATGAGAATGACACTTTCACCTCCCCCTTCTTCTTAATTTCTCATTCATACTCAATCTTGAAAAAACCATCACTTTATCCTTAAGCTACACCTCACATTATGTATTTTGTTTATTGCCTCCATAATCTTTTTCCATAGAGAGAGAAATCACTTTCATAGACAGTCAGAAGGCCTGCACAGCCCCTGAGGTGGAACAAAAAGGGTTGGCATCAAAGTAGGGAATTTAGCAGGTCATCCCCTCATGTAAGACACTTCAAGTTTACAAAATCTCTC